AAAGTGGCCCTAGCTTTACAAGCCCTGGAGGTGCCTTTCATGTTGTAGTTCATACAACCTGCCCAGATGCACGTGGTTAAGTTTTAAAATCCTGCTTCTCAAAGTATGGGATACACTGAACAAGCAATACATTCAAGAATCCAGCCTGCTAAATATCTTTGCCTCAGATTATCATGACTGTAAGTGGCGCAACCATAGTGAATGTGCGCCTCATATGTTGGAGCCGCTGTGTCGCTGGCTCTGCATGCATGAAACAGCCAGTAGGCGGATTGAAAATAGGAGCTTGCAAGAGGTGAGGCTCCCCAGAGGTGCAGGAGAGTCAGCCTCCAAATAACCTCCATTGTGGCTGCAGGAGAGTGAGCCTTGAGCTACCTCTGCAGTGGCTATTTATTGAAACGCTATACAACAAGTGTGTGGACCCCCCCCGCCCCCCACCAAAGATCATGTGCTTAAGGATCGGCTATGTGCTCTTTCCCTACAGGCTTAACTCCCATCCTGAAGCACCACAAATGCTCCAGGTTCAACACCTGTTTACTAATGAGCGACCAATCTCATCTCATTAGAGCACTTAGTTGCTTGAGGGCCTGTCTCCAGGCTGCAAAACATCTCTAGGCCAGCTAGGAGACTGTCCTGCTCTCTGCGGCGTTTTCCTCAAGAACTAGTGACTGTTCTTACAAGCATAGTGCTCAGTCTCCTACATTCATAGGTATAAAACATAGAGCAGTGGTTTTGGACTTAGGAGACCAGAGTTTTAGCCCTGAGAGGCCACTTCTCTGAATGAAAATGTTCTTATGTGTAAAACAGGAAGGATAGATTCACAGAGCTGCTAAGAGGATTAATTATGATCACCTAGGTAAATGTCTGGCACATGATAAGCACGCAATCAAGGTGAGGCTCTCTGAAGTAATGCGTCCTAATACCATTAGATTCAAACACTAGAACTGCACTGTCCAATATAGTAGCAACTAACATGAAGCTTTTAATTAATTGAAATTAAATAGACTTTAAAATTCAGTTCCCAGTGCTCAAAATCAAACGTGGTTAATGACTACTGATTAGACAGTACCAGTATTGACCATTGCCATCATCACAGAAAGTTCTTTTGGACAATAGAAAAAGTGATAGAATTACACAAGAACAAGAGGACCAGAAGTCTAAATTTTTGCCACTAACTGTTGTGACACTTTAAGAAAGCAACTTTATCTCATTGCATCAGTTTCCTCCCTGATAAAATGGAAGAATGCCTTCCCAGGAATGTTGTGGGGATCAGCTGCACTGAAGTTACTCTTCCCTTGCTTTCTCATCTTCCCAGGACCCCAAGATTAAACAATGCACAACACAGTTCCTAGCAAGGATCACTTTGAAGATGACTTGATAGGTACAGCCCTTTGATAGGGTGTGATGCTTGGCTAATTTTATATTCATAGTGATGATTTGATATTGTTCCAACACACCTGTTAAGTAGTTAAGAACATCATATGTTCAAAAGCTCAACAAGCTATCTGCAGATAGTTCTTAAGGTGATAGAAAGATACAAATCAATATAACCATATAGGTTTTCATGAGCAAGCAGCCATTTGTAGACTAGAAAGTTCTCACAGGGTTTAAAATGGAAAGAACAAAGATTCTATTTCCTTCTTTTTCATTTATGTTTCACTTTAATGCCTAAATTTACCTTTTCTAGGTCTGGAAACAATAATCTGTTGTTGGCATTTGGGAGACAATGTTGTATTTTTTTATTGATCTAAAGCAGATGTTGAAAAACCTTTTCTCTAAAAAGTCAAAGAGAAAATATTTTAGAACCATAAAGTTTTTCTATCACAACTACTCAACTCTGCTGTTGTAGCACATAAATAGCACAGACATGTGTTTAATGCATAAATGGTTGCAGTTGTGCACCAGTAAAACTTAATGTACTAAAATAGGCTCTTGGTCTTCAGTTTGCCAACTTTAGAACTAGGATATGTAACATCATCTCCTTTCCACTGGTCCCATGTGTTTGTTTCCCACTCTTATATATCTTTGTCACTTAATTGAATTTAATCTTTCTTAGAGATAGGATTTCATTCTGTTGCGCAGGCTGGGGTATAGTGGTGTCATCATAGCTCATTAAACTATGAAACTCCTAGGCACAAGTGATCTTATCGGTTCAGCCTTCTGAGTAGCTTGGCTAATTTTAAAATTTTTGTAGAGAGGAAGTCTTGCTATATTGCCCAGCCCGAGCTGAAACTCTTGGCCTCAGGCAGTCCTCCCATGTTAGCCTTCCAAATGCTGGGTTTACAGGTGTGACCATTGCCTAGACTGATTTTATTTTTGAATATATATTGTAGCCTGCAAATCACAATAAGACCTTTAAATGTCTACTTTAGAAATGTCAAAGGTTTTTCTTATTTTTTATTATGGCTTTTGATTTAAAAAAACCTGATAATCCTTCAAGATAATAATTGTTTTTCAGAGAACCAATTGAAAGGGATGGACACAGACATAAAATGTAAAAGAATTAATTAGAAATGAGTCACAGATTTAGTCAGGCCCTTTAAAATGTTTCTTGGCTATTTTGTTAATTTGTGAATTGAACTACAAGTTAAACAGAAACTAAAATTGAGCTAGATGCCTCAAGGCCATTGTTTTTTACATGGATATTATAGTTCAAGACAAATTATGGTCAAATATTTAGATGACTCAAGTGGTATACAAACAAAAAAACCTGGTAACTTGCACTCATGAATGAAACTAGACAAAAAAAAAAAAAAAAGAACTAGTAAGAAATTAATAAAATAGAACCACAAAATTTTAGGGCTGAAAGCATCCTTAGAAATAATTTTGTTCAAGCTCATCATCCCACAGTTGATGAATGTGCTTGACATCTCTTATTTTTCCATCCCAGAATACACTATTTCTTTGAGTGAGGGCTGACATTTTCCTTATGCAACCATCCCTCCATCCCCTACCCTCAGTCTTGGTAGTTTGAGGCTGTTGTCACTCTCAGGTCATGAAGGGAACACTTAAATCAGGCTGGATTCGTCAGAACACTGTAAACTCCTGGCCAAGGCTGGTTCAGGGGTGGGTCACTGATCCAAACTTGGTCATCAGAGCCATCAAGACTCAGTTCTGGGATGTGTCTTACAGCTTAGAGTTTCTAAGACAGAGAAGTTTGTTTCCTTGATCTCTACTTTCTTCCATCTTTACTCTCCTTTCTTCCTTTTCTCCTCTCTCCCTCCCTTCCTTCCTTTTATCCTTCCTTCTACTTTCTTTTTCATTTTCTCTTTCCCTCCCTGTCTTCTCTTCTGGGGATGCTAACCTTTGTAAACCTCTCCATGAAATGGCCAGAAGCCATATTACTACCTTATGGGAAGCATATTACTATTTATGAAGTGGCATAAGAATAAAACCAAGGACAAACTGGGCCAAGATACAAACAGATCAAGTTCTGGTGGCTTTGAGCTTATTTGAAAATAAGAGTCTATGCTTACTTTTACAAAATAATTACCTGAATGATTGACTTCCTTTATGCCCACCTCCAAACTGGGTTGATCAGAAACATTATTTACAAGTGATTCAAATACAGACCTTTCTGTGCAAAGAGCAAAAAATTCAAATATGGCTTATTATTGTCTAAGTGATAAAATATAGATAATTTCTTTTACCATATGAATTAGTTACTACAGTATCAAAAGACAATATACACCTTAAAAAACACCATTAATATTTTCCTTTTATTGCATAGCCCTCAAGATAAGACATGAGACTGACCTATCAAATGGTTTATTTCCCCCAGGCAAATATGGATCTATGCAATATTAAGTTTCTCACTTGCCTTGAACAAGTGGTCTTGCCATGCTTGGGTTATAGTTTGGTTTTATACATTTTAGGGAGACATAAATTACATGTAAAGTCATATGGAAGATGTACATTGGTCTGACCTGAAAAGGTAAGACTTCTCCAAACAGGGGATTACAGTTTACAGATAATTGAAAGATTCTTTGATTCGTAATTGGTTCAAGAAATGAAGCTTTGTCTAAAGGCTTGGACTGTCTTAGGACAACAAAGTCTGCTAATCAGAGACAAGCCACCACACATATGTGGAGAGACTCAAGTGATCTGTTAAGTAAACTGATGACCTGCAAGTATGATTGAATCTTTGTCTTACATGGCCTTTGGCTTGTTAGTGATTTTGTTTCTTATGGCTACAGAAAGTAACTCCAAAAGGAATAGGGTATAACTAGATGTTTGTGACCTCCCTCCTCATCATGGCTGACAACTCAGCTTTAAAGGTTTTTTAAATTTTTTTTTTTTTTTGTGGGGGGACTGGGGAGAGTCCCCTTAGCCAAGAGAAGGAGCATTCAGTAGGCTGGGAGGGGTGTTTAAAATTTTATCTTAGTTAACAAAGAAGAACTATTTGAGGAATAAAAGTGACTAAAATTGGAAATACACACAGATCTTAGAGATTACAAAACAAGATTTTATTTAAATTTGTATACAGATAAAAATATACCAAAATTTAAACAAAAATCTTATTCAAATATTTTCCCCATCACAAAAATGGACACTTTGAAAGAGAAAGCCACATTCTATTCAAATACATTTTTCCATTTCTTAAAGCAGAAACTGGTGCTAGGAGCAGGGAGTGGGATAAAGGAGAGAAGATGCCGACATTCAGTACAATTTGATCTTCAGTGTTATCTTAAGGGTTCCATGAGAATCAGCATCCTTCATTTTTAACATTAAACTGGAAATGTTTGCTCCAAAATCACAAATAAGGCTTTTGGCTTTTAGTGTAACGTAAACAGTTATTTGATATTAAGGCAAAATGGTAAAAATACACATATGGTATATTAATGAGGACTTTCCATTTTAAAACACATGTTGGAATTGGAAACTTGTAAAAACTGCCACTGTGTGTAATGGCTACTTGCCTGAATGTCTTAGCTGTGCCTTTTTGGTGGTTAATATGTTAAATGTCACCTTATCTGAATATTTTATAGATTGCGATTTTTTTGTTATATAGGATTAGATACTCATCAAAATTCTAAGAAATAAACCCAGACCTGATTTCCAACTCTGTGCATACTCACATTATTTAGACACAGAAGACTACTACTCAAAGTTGGTAAAATACTGTCTGCTAAGCAGGCTTAAAATGATAGAGAAGTATGAGAACACAGGACATTATTTTTATGGAGACTGTAAGTAAAATCAGATTGAGGCTGTCTAGACATCTTATTCAATAAAATACAGATTTAAGATTCGTCACACAGTTATCCTTGTGTGTGCCTTCCCCTCTTTTTTTCCCAAGATAACCCCTCCTTCACAGTGATGAGAGAACTACCCCTTCGCAGGGAGAAACAGCCTCCCTTCCTCCAGGGATCAGGATGAAGCTGTCACTTCTTGGACACACTGGCCACAGCCTTCTTGGCTGCGTCCTCCAGGTCGACAGCTGACATAATGCGCAGCCCGCTGTTCCTGAGTATGTTCTGGGCCTCTTGGACGTTAGTTCCTAGAAGGCAGAAGGATAAACAATCGCTGAATAAGGATGAACAATTGCAGGTAGTGCCCTGCGTAGTTTTTTTTTTCTTTTTTTTTGTAGAGACAGAGTCTCACTTTGCCGCCCTTGGTAGAGTGCCCTGGTGTCGCAGCTCACAGCAACCTCCAACTCCTGGGCTTAGGCGATTCTCTTGCCTCAGCCTCCTGAGTGGCTGGGACTACAGGTGCCCGCCACAACACCCAGCTATTTTTTGGTTGCAGTTCGGCCAGGGCTAGGTTTGAACCCGCCACCCTCGGTATATGGGGCAGGCACCTTACCCACTGAGCCACAGGCGCCGCCCCTTGCGAAGTTTTTTGTACAACCTGAAATCACACGGTGCCGGGGTCTCATGTGACCCTGACACAATTTCATTAGAACACAGTTCCAGCTTTCTTTTTTTAGAGACAAAGTCTTACTTCGTTGCCCTCGGTAGAGTGCTGTGGCGTCACAGTTCACAGCAACCTCCAGCTTTTGGGCTTAGGCGATTCTCTTGCCTCAGCCTCCAGAGTAGCTGGAACTACAGGCGCCCCACAACGCCCAGCTGTTTTTTGTTGCAGTTTGGCCCAGGCCGGGTTTGAACTCACCACCCTTGGTATATGGGGCCAGCGCCCTACCCACTGAACCACAGGTGCCGCCCACAGTTCCAGCTTTTTATGATCCAGATCTGACTAGACAGATATACGCAGAAGACAATTTTTTTTTCTTCTTTTCACTTCAGTTATCTTCTATTACGACGACCTTGCCTATATTTTCCATGATAAAAACATGGAAATGAGCTTCATTTCAGACTGTGCTCAAAGAAAGATTAGCAACCACCTGTTCAACTAGTTGGAAGGAGTCACTGACACTGACTAGCACCTATATTAAGCTAATCTGTCATTTTCTATAATCTGTCTCTAGCTTTTCACCAGGAAATGAATTAAATATAGGTGCTAGTCAGTGTCAGTGACAGGAAAACTGAACTGGAGTTTTCCCTTGATTGAATAGTCTGAGTATAAAATGGAAAGAAAATGTCTTGTGAAAAAACTGTGCAAGAGAAAGGTGTAGCAGGGTGTTGGGATGATATGGAGCACAGATGCTCCTTGACTTTATGATGTGGTTCTGTGCTGAAAAACCCAATGTTAGCTGAAAATATCCTACGTCAAATATCCACTTCCACTCCACACACCTAACCAACTTAACCTGCTGAACATCATGGTTTAGCTGAGCCAACCTTAAGCCCACACTTAAATTAGCCCACAGTTGGGCAAAACCATTTATCATGCAGTCAATCTAAAAAAAAAGTGTGGAATATCTTGCGTAATTTATTGATGTTCTACTGAATTCGTATCCCCATCATACCATTGTTGAGTCAAACATCATTAAATCAAACTACTGTAAGTTGGGGATAGTCTGTATTTGAGTAATAGATGAGGAAGCACAAGGCTAATCTGTCTACAACTTTTCACCAGGAAATGAATTAAATATAGGTGCTAGTCAGTGTCAGTGACAGGAAAGATTATATGACAAGATATATCTCAAGCTGTGATCTGACTAGAAAAGATGAAGTAAAGACTTGGAAGGGGGAAGTTTTTTTAGTTGTTGTTACTGATAGAAACTGAAATATCTGCTGATAATCCACTGTCATATGGATTTAATACGGTTTTGGTCCATACAAGAAGTCATCTGTCTCCAAAACCTCTTAGAAGGCAGGGGTCAAGCTGTAACCTAAAATTTTGCAAATCTGCTCACCTATGCCCACAAATCCACTGCTCTGGACACTCTTGCTGTAGCTAACATGTCCATTTCTGCTTCCTCCTCACTCTATGTAATAAGAGCCAGTGAAAATAAGCTGCCTCTGATGACATCTTTTGGTGGACATGGGGTATTTGCCAGCCAATCCCCATCATAGAAAAGCGTCTTTGGGGACGGCCTAACATATGAACTGCTTTTTTGCTGCTTTTTTTTTTTTTTTGAGTGAACAATCCTTGAGGAGAAATGTGATAGAATGTAAGCAACTAATGAAATATCTTGTCTTATATCATTTTCTGTGCTTTTATGTAGTTAGCAAGACAGAGCCTATTTATAAAAAAAGACTTTGAAATATAGGCCTGGAAGAATCTGCCTTATCACAAAGAGTACAAATAAAAATGGGCACTTGATCAGCACAGTTCGTATAAAAGGGCAAGGCCAGGGTGAATGGGAACAGCTGGATTGACAAGAAGCTGCAGTTTGGATTCTCCTGGGACTCTGAGCCCACAGAACAGAGTTGAAGGGCACCCTGAGCACCGTGCCTCCGGCTTCAGGCTCATTTAGTGATGCTTTGCACAGAAAGCTGATGAAAGGCCTTTCTATAAAGAGACAATCGTGGTGAAGTTCCTACCTAAAATCCCCACCCTTGCATCCTGGGTTCTGCCATATAGCCTAATGTAGTTTTGGATAAATTATGCAACTTCTCTGAGCCTCAACTTTATCTCCACACATAGCACAGTATAATCACCCTTATCATCTTCCTCAGGATTGATACTCACTATGTGCCCATGTATGCCAGGCATAATGTTCAGTGGTTCATATAGCGCATATGAAGTGAAGTCGCTACAAAACCACAGAAGTCAGACTTACTGTCCCTTTTTTACAGATAAAGCAACCGAGGCACAGAAGGATTAAAGTTTTCCATAGTTGTAGAGAGGACAAGCCGCAGAGAGGGGACTTAAACTATTCTCTGTAATTACAAATTGTGCATATTCTAAAGATACGCTGGTCTATGTCCCTGTTTGTACAATGAGGACAATATGGTTGACAGTGCTGACTGTAATGAGAAGCAAATGAAACAACGCCTGGGAAAGCATCTGGAGAATAGCAAAGCGCCCACAGCAGACCTGGTCCCACTCCTCGTCTCCAGGTGGTGTTGCTGGGAAGTGGACACCAAGCCAGAAACTACGCTTCCCAGTTCCCTGGCATCTAGAGGGCCTAGGACCTCTGACCAACAGAACGTGAGTGGAGATGAAATGCATGTCCTAAGGATCTCTCCTGTGCCCTTCACAGTCTCCATTTGCCCTGCCTGCTGTCTGCAGTGTTGCCAGTCAGGGCTGACTGGAAAGCACTTCTTTGAAGACCGCAACATGTCCAGGCTGAATGTTTGAGTAACTGTGTGAAGCAGAGCGCCCCACCCACTCTCCCTCTCAGACCAATGTGAACGAGAAAGAGTGTTCTATAATGTTGTTAAAGTCCCTGACATTTCACCACTTTCAGTTGTTCCAGGACCTAGCATTACTATAAGACACAACTTTGTAAATACTATGGAAGGCAGCTTCCAAAATGGCGCTCAAAGATCAATCTATGAACCCCATCTCCTGCTGTTTACATCCTTATGTAATCTCACACCCACCTGAGGGGCTGGACTGGAGCCTTGCTTTCCAGAATAAAAAAAAAAACATGGCAAAAGTGATGGAATGTCGCTTCTCGTATTTCCTAGGTTAAAAAAAAAGCCTGTGGCTTCAGTGTTGCTCCCTCCTCCTTTGTTCAACTCTGATGAAGCAAACTGCCATGCTATGAGCTGCCCAATGGAGAAACCCAACTGGCAAGGAACTGAGGGCAGCTTCCCAACAGCCAGTGGGGAACTGAGGCCATGCAGAAACTCATCCTGCCAACAACACAGGCTTGAACTTGGAAGTGAACTCTTTCCTAGTCCCAGGCTGAGATGTTCTCAGCCCTGGCTGATATCTTGATTACTCTATGGGGTCCTGAGTAAGAGGACCTAGCTCTCACTCAGAATCCTAAGCCACATCCGGATTCCTGGCCACAAAAACTGTGGTCTTTTTTTGTCAAGCTGCTACATTGGTGGTAATGTGTTACACACTGTTAGGTAACTAACACAGACATAAAAATTTATTATTTCATTAATACAATCTTGGTGTGCATTTTGATTCATTTGATAAGGTTTTAGCCAAAGTCCCAGAGGTTGGAAAGTAGGACAGGGGATCAGACGGGTGGCAGGTGTTAGTTTGCAGGCTAAGAAATTCAGACATTAATCTGCAGGCACAGCTTCCATGGAGTACTACAGAGTGTGAAGCGAAGCTTGGAGGGAAACTGATGCAAATCCATCTGTGGACCTGAAGGTGAACGAAAGTTAAATGTGTACATTTCTATCTCCCTCAACAGAGACATGGACAAAGCTCTTTTCCCTCTTCCCTTTCTCTTTCAAGCACTTTCCCTATCTTAACACATAGCTCCCAAGACCTCCAGACAACTGTCGGAGTAGTGCCCTTGAGGTCTTCCTCCATCTCAGATCCTGCTCTTTCTGGGGTCCAGTTTTATCATGGTTCCCACCTACTCTGAGAACCATTTCTTCCATTTTACCTGAATTCCCTTCCATGTGTAGGGATGAAATAAATTCTTGATTTCTTTTTTTTTTTTTAGGTATTTCCTTGCAACCATGTATTCTAAAAAGTTCAGTAGTTCCTTAATTAATACCCCCTTCAGTACCCATCTTATTGCCTGTTGTCTCAGGGGACAAAAAAAATAACCAACCTGAGAATTCATGAATATCCAGATGTGCTCGGTTATGGCTCTCGCTGGGCTTTCCAAACAGAGCTCTGTTGGGCTGACCTCTTTCCCTGCGGGGCTGACGTTCATACATTCACAAGGCATCTGTTTAAATAACATTTCTTTGGGGATGCCTTCCATGTCACCACCTCCCAAGGCCCTAGACTTGTAAAGTGAGCTTTCAGAGTACTTGTACTTCCAGAATCTTAACACAGAGCATGCCCCATTGGGATGGCTACTGACACTTCGCTCATCCCTGCGGGATGGCTACTGACACTTCGCTCATCCCTGCTACACAGCACTTCACTTTGCCAGGCTCACTCACCAGCGTATCTTATAATATGTCACTTCGCATGTACTTGCTGACAGGCTGAGTATCTATGTTTGGGCAGGCACACAGAAAGCGTGCTAGATGAGGAGAGGTTTGGGCGGGTACTTTTCGAAACATC